GTAATGCTAGGTCAATATTAATAGGAACGACTACATTTTGAAAAGCAACATTGTCCTAAAGATACGTATCTTTCCTACAGAGTAATGGCTGTCATTAGTTAGAATCATAAAATATACAGGAAATGGCAGTTTTGTTATTTTACTTTTCAACACCTTAACATGACCTTTATGCATTTGTATTCCTATAAAAGTAGGAACTTTGCTCTGGTCAGAAATTGAGAGAAGCAGTGGTGGAGGTGGGATGTAACCACCAATAAAGATTAGCTAAGTTTCTCTTGGTTATTTAAGGCTTTGTTAATTATAAATTTGTCTCAATGCTTTTATTCTTTTTATTTTTTATGTATTTTTTAAATTAAAGACGGGGTTTCACCATGTTGGTCAGGCTGGTCTTGAACTCCCGATGATCACGTTGGCCTCCAAAGTGCTTGGATTACAGGCATAAGCCACCATGCCAGGCCTATTTTTAAATTTTTTAAAATATGGAATGCTTAAATTTGCATGTCATTCTTGCATAGAGGCCATGCTAATCTTCCCTGTATCCTTCAATTCCAGTATACATGCTGCCGAAGCAAGCTCTCAATGCTTTTTTTTTTTTTTTTTTTTTTGAGATGGAGTTTCGCTCTTGTTACCCAGGCTGGAGTGCAATGGTGCGATTCGGATCACCGCAACCTCCGCCTCCTGGGTTCAGGCAATTCTCCTGCCTCAGCCTCCTGAGTAGCTGGGATTACAGGCACATGCCACCATGCCCAGCTAATTTTTTGTATTTTTAGTAGAGATGGGGTTTCACTATGTTGACCAGGATGGTCTCGATCTCTTGACCTCGTGATCCACCCACCTCGGCCTCCCAAAGTGCTGGGATTACAGGCTTGAGCCACCACGCCTGGCTCTCAACGCTTTTTAAAAAAACCTTGAGTATAATGTGGTGATAACTATTCTAAATATTTCATGTGTGTTGGCTCATTAAATCTCTTTAATGTCTCAACACTTTATTCATTTATTAGAGAAAAGGTCTTGCTCTGTTGCCCTGGCTGTATTGTTGCTGCTTGATCATAGCTCACTGCAGCCTCGTACTTCTGGGTTCAAGCGATCCTTCTGCTTCAGTCTCCTAAGTAGCTGGGACTACTGGGACTACAGGTGTGTGTTGCCAGGCCTGGCTAATTACAAAAAAAAAAAAAAAAAATTATTTTTGTAGACCCAGGGTCTCATTATATACCCAGCTGGTCTTGATCCTTCTACCTCAATTCAGTGCTGGGATTACAGGCATGAGCCATTGCCCTGGACTTTGTTTTGTCTTCAGTGTCTGTAGGTCAGTTCTTTACGAACAAAGCAAAACATCATATGGTCAAATTCTGAAAAATAAGATTATTGTTCAAATTGCCTAATGGATTTTTTTTTTTTTTTTTTTTAAGACAGGATTCTTGCTCTGTTGCCAGGCTGGAGTGTAGTAGCCTGATCTCTGCTCACTGCAACCTTCACCTCCTGGGTTCAAGTGATTCTCCTGCCTCAGTCTCCTGAGCAGCTGAGACTACAGGCATATGCCACCACACTCAGCTAATTTTTTGCATTTTTAGTAGAGATGGGTTTTCACTGTGTTGGCTAGGATGGTCATCTCTTGACCTCATGATCTATCCGCCTTGGCTTCCCAAAGTGTTTGGATTATAGGCGTCCTAATGGGTCTTTTTTAGTCTTTATAATATTGTTATTTCCATAGTGGCTTGTAACTAGGTACTTAAAATAGATTCTGAAAGGCTGTCAACATTAATACATGTAAATTTGTATATACTATTTCAGTTTACAAAGCATCCTGAAATATATCTCATTTATATGGTTCAGAATATGTAGTTTGAATACAACATTGTATTACAGCTTATTTTTCCTTTCAGTTTTATTTATTTATTTTTTTTGAGATGGAGTCTTGCTCTGTGGCCCAGGCTGGAATGCAGTGGGGTGATCTCAGCTTTGCCTCCAGGGTTCAAGAGATTCTCCTGCCTCAGCTCCTGAGTAGCTGGGATTGCAGGCACCTGCCAGCATGCCTGGCTAATTTTTCTATTTTAGTAGAGACAAGATTTCACCATGTTGGCCAGGCTGGTCTTGAACTCCTGACCTCAGGTGATCCACCCACTTCAGTCTTCCAAACTACTGGGATTATAGGTGTGAGCCACTGCACCCGGCCTCAGTTCTCTTAAAGGGAATCTACATTTTCAAGAATTACATACATCATACTGAAACATAAATCTGACACGGACGTAAGTTTGAAGTAGTAATAGCCAAGATTTTTCAAGTAGCAGCAAAATAATATTGTTTAAGAGGAGGTATTATAGAATCATAAGCACAGAGGTCCAATAATCGGATCACACAATGCTTACAAAGGATAGCCTTAGAAAGGTTCAGGTGTTTAGGTAAAGAGCCCTTCTCCCCTTCTCAAACGACGAACAAAAATAAAAATAAACAAAACGAAACGTTTCCTTGCAGGAAACTTTCCATGAACCCATGGTTTTAGGGGCAAGGGTGAGAGCAACAGGCAAAACTAGTTCAGAACCTAGACAACTAGGGGTTTCTCCAAACAAGTCGAAACCAAAATAGGCATGGTTGATGAGCGTGTACATTGGTATAGCCATTATAGAAGGCAGTATGGAGGCTCCTCAAAAAATCAAAAATAAAACTACAGTATAAACCATATAGTATATACCATATATATGCATATATACCATATATATGCATATATACCATATATATAATATAAACCATATATTCTGGGTATATATCTGAAGAAAATGAAATCAGTATGTCAAAGAGATATCTGCATCCCCAAGCTCACTGCAGCATTATTTTATAATAGCCAAAGTATGGAATCACCTAAGAGTGAATTGATGGATACAGATAAATAAAATGTAAAATATAGAAATGTGGTAATTTTTATATATAAAATGGAATACTATGCAGCCTTTAAAAAAGAATAAAATCCTGTCATTTGTGACAACATGGATGAATTTATGCTAAGTGAAATAAGCCAGGCACCGAAACACAAATACTTCACGGTCCCACTTAGACGTAGAATAAAAAAATGTGGAACTCATAGAATCAGAGAGTAGAATAGTGGCAGGATCTTGGCTCACTGCAACCTCTGCCTCCCAGGCTCAAGTGATCCTCCCATCTCAGCCTCCCAACTAGCTGGGACTACAGGTGCCACTGTGCCTGGCTAATTTTTTAATTTTTTTTAGAGATGGGGTCTCACTATGTTGCCGAGGCTGGGATCCAACTCCTGGGCTCAAGGGATCTGCCCGCCTCAGCCTCCCAAATTGTTGGGATTACAGACTTGAGCCACGGCACCTGGCCAATCTGAAATATTCTTACACAAAATAAACACACACACACACACACACACACACACACACACCTATGTGAGGTGATGGATATGTTAATTTAGTTTGATTGTGACAGTCATTTCAAAACATATACATGTATGAAAACATGACATGGTACACTGTAAATATGTACAATTATTTAAAGCTAGAAAAATTCGCCGGGCACTGTGGCTCAAGCCTGTAATCCCAGCAATTTGGGAGGCTGAGGCGGGAGGATCACCAGAGGTCAGGAGTTTGAGACCAGCCTGGCCAACATAGTGAAACCCCGTCTCTATAAAAATAAAAAAATTAGCCGGGGATGATGGTGGGTACCTGTAATCCCAGCTACTCGGGAGGCTGAGGTGGGAGAATCACTTGAACCCAGGAGGCGGAAGTTGCAGTGACCCAAGATCGCATTATTGCACTCCAGCCTGGACTACTGAACAAAACTCCGTCTAAAAAAAAAAAAAAAAAAGCTAGAAAAATTCTTTTTCTTTCTTTTTTTTTTTTTTTTTTTGAGACGGAGTTTCGCTCTTGTTACCCAGGCTGGAGTGCAATGGCGCGATCTCGGCTCACCGCAACCTCCGCCTCCTGGCTTCAGGCAATTCTCCTGCCTCAGCCTCCTGAGTAGCTGGGATTACAGGCACACACCACCATGCCCAGCTAATTTTTTGTATTTTTAGTAGAGACGGGGTTTCACCATGTTGACCAGGATGGTCTCGATCTTTTGACCTCGTGATCCACCCGCCTCGGCCTCCCAAAGTGCTGGGATTACAGGCTTGAGCCACCGCGCCCGGCTGAAAAATTCTTTAAAAATAAACCAAAAAGGCAGTCCATAAGCTTCTGTTGAATGGATGAAAATCTCTACAATAAATAAAAACATAATATGTAAAGGTATTAATAAGATTTGGAGGAAAACCTAAGAAAGTTAACAGCAGTTACTTCTGGGCATCACCCAGATACAGGGAATTGGGGATGGAAGGCTTACTTTTCTATAGATCTTCGGGACGTTTTAAAACATACATGCTCAACCTTTAAAAATTAGGGGAAATCTCTTCTCCACATCCTCTAGGTGTGCTGCCTTCCTCCCCTCAACACACTTAACTATCAAAACCTACAATACTTCCAACAGTCGCCCCTCAAGGGAACAAGTCCCCGGTCTGCATGATCAGGACCAGCTAGTCCGCATTGCCGACCCCAGAAAGGCGGGCGAGGCCCTTGTCCTGCAGGCCACAGCGAAGAAAAAAGCCTCCGGTTACCGGCCTCAGGTGTAAGGCTGCTCCGCATCGGCGGCGAGCGGACATTCCCATTACTATCACACAGTCTTTGTCTTTCTGGGAGAAAGCACCTGGTGGGAGTCAGCCTGCCACCGCAGGGCGCTCCGGGACGCCAGCCCTCTGTCAAACGGCAGGCTGCGCCAGCGTCCTGCCGGAACGTTTCATCCAGGCCTGACTCTCATTCTTACTTGGCAGATTCACCACTTTTTGGTGTCAGAATTAAAAAAAAAAATTCCAATTTCTCTATTTCAGAAGCTCTTTCTGTCCAGAAAAACGGAAGCAGGAGAGACTTCAGATTTTTGAATTTTTTTTTTCTATTTTGGTGTCCAGAGTATCTACATCCAGTGAGCTGGGACCGTGAATCGAAAGCGACGACTCGGATGCTCAGGTCACAGTTCCCGGCGCGCAGTCGCAGCTGCCTCTCTCTCCTGCCCCCGCCTGGAGTCCGACGTGGAAGTTGCTGGCTGACTGGGCTAGCGAGGAAATCGCTTCGAAGCCGCAGCCGGAGGTCAAGGAATCACTGAGGATCGGCGAGGGCGGACAGGGGGTTCATCATGGGTGAGGAGTCCGAGAAGGGCGCCCGGGCGCGCACGAAGGGGCTGGGGCCGAGGGCTAGGGCGCGGAGGAGGAGAGAGGCCGGCCAGAGAAGCCCAGAGTAGCCAGCTTCTCAGGGGGCGGGTCGCCGAGGACTTAACTGACCTTGGGTCTTCATCTCGAGGGGTGAATCCGGCCTCTCTAGTCTCCCACTCATCCCCGCGGGGTCCGGGGACCCGGAAAGCGCGGGTCTGTAGAGCCTGGGTTCGAGTCCTGAATTCTCCATTTGCTGGGGAGAGTTGGTCCTGCGAAGGCTGGCAACGTGTTAGTCGCAGGTTCGCTGAGGTTTCTTAGTGAAAGATGAGCTGCGGCCCCAGAGTGGAAGCTTAATTATTCTCTTTACCAGGGGCACTGGGACGGCGTCAGTTTGAAAAATCCGAGGGTAGGTGTTGCTTATGTTGTTTTATGGCCAGTTTGGCATTCGTCTGCTAATTTGCTGTAGCTTTTCTTGTAATAATACAGTAAGATGAAGAAGGAAGTGGGGAGGGTATTTCTAGTGGGTAAGTGAAATTTTAATCTCAATTCTTGGCCGGCTGATTTCGGAAACAGGATTCTCACAAGTATCAGGTCACACCCTCGCCCGCTAGAGCCCAAATGAGGGTGCACTTTCTTTTAACTTGTCTCCTACCCTCCAAATGAAGGTGCAGATTCTTTGGCTTAGTTAAATCCCTTCACAGTTTTCTGGGGAGCATACTTCTTGCTCCCAGACATCACAGGCACTGTCCTGTCATCCATAACCCCCTTCAGTTTTGTTCTTCCGCCTCTCTTGTACCTGTAAATGGTAGAAAGGACTTTGTCAAGTCACACCCATTCTGTTGAAGTTTCCCAAGCTTCTCCAGCCCATGGTATGTTCATTTCTCAACTCGCGGCTCTTAATTATGGCATGTTTTTGCCAAGTAACAGTGTGGCATCACTTCTAATGTAACTTGCATTTATCTATCTATCGATCTGTCCATCTATTTATTTATTTAGATACGGAGTCTCACTCTGTCACCAGACTGGAGTGCAGTGCTGCGATCTGGGCTCACTGCAACTTCCGCCTTTCAGGCTCAAGCGATTCTCTTGCCTCAGCCTCCCGAGTAGCCGAGACTATACGCACGCAGCGTTACAGCCAGCTAATTTTTGTATTTTTAGTAAAGGCCTCTTGACCTCGTGATCCGCCCGCCTCCGCCTCCCAAAGTGCTGGGATTACAGGTGTGAACCAGGTCGTAACTTGTTTTTGTTTTTGAGACGGAATTTTGCTCTTGCCCAAGCTGGAGTGCAGGGGCGCAATCTCAGCTCGCTGCAACCTCTGCCTTCCCGCTTCAAGCGATTCTCTTGCCTTAGTCTCCGGAGTAGCTGGGATTATAGGCATCCACCATCACACCCGGCTAATTTTGTATTTTTAGTAGAGATGGGGTTTCTCCATGTTGGTCAGGCTGGTCTTGAACTCCCCACCTCAGGTGATACGGTCGCCTTGGCCTCCCAAAGTGCTGGGATTACAGGCGTAAGCCACCGCACCCGGACTGCAACTTGCTTTTAATCTTCTCTAATGGCTCTGGATGGGAAAAGGACTGTGCCACAAGTGCTTTTATACTATACAATACTTGGTGTACAGGAAGCTTTCTGGGAATATTTTGTGATGCATTGGATAGAGCTTTATTATTATTATTATTATTATTATTATTTTTTTGAGACGGAGTTTTGCTCTTGTTACCCAGGCTGGAGTGCAATGGCGCGATCTCGACTCACCGCAGCCTCCGCCTCCTGGGTTCAGGCAATTCTCCTGCCTCAACCTCCTGAGTAGCTGGGATTACAGGCACGTGCCACCATGCCCAGCTAATTTTTTTGTATTTTTAGTAGAGATGGGGTTTCACTATGTTGACCGGGATGGTCTCGATCTCTTGACCTGGTGATCCACCCGCCTCAGCCTCCCAAAGTGCTGCGATTACAGGCGTGAGCCACCGCGCCCGGCTATTATTGTTTTAAAATGGGTTTCTGTCAAAAATAGTTTTCAGCTTTTCAATTTCTTGTGCTAGTTATATTGCTTAGCGTAGAACTCTCATTGAAGTTGGTTATAGTGATACTGCTGCTGTAAAATACTTTTCATCCTCCTTACTGGCCCCTTGGTTTTTAAGGATCACTAGGGAACCATGCTAAAATATTCCTATTCTGCTGATTAGAAAATGAGATTCCCAAAGGCAGCGGCCGTATTTCTCATTCTGTGTCTGCATGCTACAATATTTAGGACATAGTAACATAACTAATTACTTGTTTGATGTTGAATAATATATTTCATTGGGAGCAAAAATACTTATCTATGCATCCAGGAAAATAATAATAATTAATTTGGAATATAGCTTTCAAAAGACAAGATTAGATGTTTTGTGCACCTAGTTCACAAAATGAAATTGTATATGTTTTTTTCTTTTATTATTTTTTAGGTGGCTTTTTCTCAAGTATATTTTCCAGTCTGTTTGGAACTCGGGAAATGAGGATTTTAATTTTGGGATTAGATGGAGCAGGAAAAACCACAATTTTGTACAGATTACAAGTTGGAGAAGTCGTTACTACTATACCTAGTAAGTGTTGGTATGATGAACTAATTGTAGGAGTTTTCTGGTCTCTATTTAACATAACTCTTATTTCTCTTTTTTGTTTTTGTTTTTGTTTTAATAGAGGTCAGGTTGCCCAGGCTGGTCTTGGACTCTTGGCCTCAAGTGATCCTCCTGCCTTGGCCTCCCAAGTGCTGGGATTATAGGCATGAGCCACTATGCCAGGCCAATTTCTGAATAAATTAATTCATATAATAAAGTATTTGTTAAAGTTTGTAAACTGCTAGTATGAACATAACATTGATGACACTTTTTCCATCAACTGAGAGTCAGCTTAGTGTAATTTAAGGACCCTTGTTCTGGCTTACGGCCGGGATTGGCTGTTTATCGCTGTGTAAAAGTGGCTTTTTTTTTTTTTTTTTAGACGGAGTTTCGCTCTTGTTGCCCAGGCTGGAGTGCAATGGCGCGATCTCGGCTCACCGCAACCTCCGCCTCCTGGCTTCAGGCAATTCTCCTGCCTCAGCCTCCTGAGTAGCTGGGATTACAGGCACACGCCACCATGCCCAGCTAATTTTTTGTATTTTTAGTAGAGACGGGGTTTCACCATGTTGACCAGGATGGTCTCGATCTCTTGACCTCGTGATCCACCCGCCTCGGCCTCCCAAAGTGCTGGGATTACAGGCTTGAGCCACCGCGCCCGGCGCGTAAAAGTGGCTTAAGTTACCAAATCTTAATGAGAGCCGATATCTTTATTAATAAAATACATAAGATAACAAATACCCACTGGCTTTCAGGGGGAAATAAAGTAGGTAAAAATACTTTGTAAACCTGTGTAAAGAATTATATAAATGTTAAGTGATATTACATGTGAAGTGCCTTTTTTCTGTATTTGTTTCTATTTTAATTAAGATTAGTTTATCTTAGTTAATTATATTGATTACTTTTAAAGATCTGAGTTCTAGAGACTGAGTGTTGAAGTAATTTGATACCTTAAAAATATTATGAAAAGGCCGGGTGCAGTGGCTCACGCCTGTAATCTCAGCACTTTGGGAGACTGAGGTGGGTGGATCATCTGAGGTTGGGAGTTCGAGACCAGCCTGACCAACGTGGAGAAACCCGGTCTCTACTAAAAATACAAAATTAGCCAGGCATGGTGGTGCATGCCTGTAATCCTAGCTACTTGTAGGCTGAGGCAGGAGAATCCCTTGAACCCGGGAGGCGGAGCTTGCAGTGATCTGAGATCACACCGTTGTACTGCAGCCTGGGAAATGAAAGCAAAACTCCATCTCAAAAAAAAAAAATATATATATATATATATATACATATATATATATATATATATAAACATATATATATATTTCTCTATATATACAGAAAAAATAGACTTCAATTTTAATCAATTATTGCAATCTTACAAAAATATTCTCCAACCATCTTATTTGACTGTTCGAGAATACTGTTGTTATTTATACTTTTTCACTGGTTGACCTGAATTCACCTGGAGAAGATGAATACATGTAAATTAAATTGAAGAGTTCATGTAGTTTGCTCAAGATTATTTAAATTATGCCTCTAACATTACACTGTCACTTAGGGTATTTCTATATTGTTACTGTTTAAATTTATGGACTAAAACAAAAGAGACTAGCCTCTAAGAAAGAAGAGCATTTTGAATCCTGTAATGTCTGTTATTACTTTTTTGCTGCCTTCAGTAAATTTTAGTTACCTTAGTTTTTGCTTCTCAAAATCTCTGTCTGGGCATGTCCTGCAGTGCACAGAGCAGCACAGTGGAAAGTTTCGGGTTTCATTGAGTGCTGCTTTACACCACACTCTTTTTTGAGATGTTGTCTTGCTTTTTTGCCCAGGCTGGAGTGCAGTGGTGCAATCATAGCTCACTGCAGCCTCTACCACTGCCTCTTGGGCTCAAACGGTCCTCCCACCTCAGCCTCCCAAATTGTTGGAATTTCAGACATAAGCCACTGCTCTCAGTCTACACCATTCTCTTGTCCTGCACATATAAATGATGTTTTTACTATTGGTGAACATTGTAATTACACTCCTACCTAATTCTAAGGGAGACATCAGGAACTTGCATTTTAGTTTTTTGCTCAGATTTGTCATAGTATAGTTATTTTTTAATTGTAATAGACATACTTGCTAAATACTCAAAGGTATCACTTATCACTGCACACTTAAATATAAAACAAAAGTTAATTGTCCAGTTATAGCTGGAAGTTATTTTTTAGTAATTTTTTTTTTTGAAACAGAGTCTCACTCTGTTGCCCAGGTGGAGTCCAGTGGCATGATCTCAGCTCACTGCAACCTGTGCCTCTCAAGTTCAAGTGATTCTCGTTTCTCAGCCTCCAAAGTAGCTGGGATTACAGGCACATGCCACCACGCCTGGCTCATTTTTTAATTTTTGTAGAGATGGGGTTTTGCCATGTTGGCTAGGCTGGTCTCAAACTCCTGACCTCAGGTGATCCACCTGCCTCGGCCTCTCAAAGTGCTGGGATTACAGTTGTGAGCCACCGCACCCAGCCATGGAAATTAGTTTTTACCTATTTTTCAACTTAGAAGGATGGCAGAGAAGAGGGATATGACACCTGTCCTTTGACCATCCAGCCATGACCTTATTACAGAGTGAGCTCTTGAGGATGTCTACAGATTGAAAGCCACAGCCATGGCTGTGTCCATACTGAAGTTTGAACCCTGTAATGTCCGTTATTACTTTTTTGCTGCCTTCAGTAAATTTTAGTTACCTTAGTTTTTGCTCTCAAAATCTCTGTCTGGCCAGGCGCGGTGGCTCACGCGTGTAATCCCAGCACTTTGGGAGGCCGAGGCGGGTGGATCACGAGGTCGAGAGATCGAGACCATCCTGGTCAACATGGTGAAACCCCGTCTCTACTAAAAAGACAAAAAAAAAATTAGCTGGGCATGGTGGCGCGTGCCTGTAATCCCAGTTACTCAGGAGGCTGAGGCAGGAGAATTGCCTGAACCCAGGAGGTGGAGGTTGCGGTGAGCCGAGATCGCGCCATTGCACTCCAGCCTGGGTAACAAGAGTGAAAATCCGTCTCAAAAAAAAAAAAAGTCTCTGTCTGGGCATCTCCGGCAGTGCACAGAGCAGCGCAGTGGAAAGTTTCGGGTTTCATTGAGTGCGGCTTTACACCACACTCTTTTTTGAGATGATACCTTGCTTTTTTGCCCAGGCTGGAGTACAGTGGTGCAGTCATAGCTCACTGCAGCCTCTACCACTGCCTCTTGGGCTCAAACAGTCCTCCCACCTCAGAAATTTAGCTTTTCCTGCTTTTGGTCTGTTTATTTGCTACCAACCAAAATTCTAGTTTTTATACTGCATCCACAACTGTACTTTCTTTTTTTTTTTTTTGAGACGGAGTTCTTGTTACCCAGGCTGGAGTGCAATGGCGCGATCTCGGCTCACCGCAACCTCCGCCTCCTGGGTTCAGGCAATTCTTCTGCCTCAGCCTCCTGAGTAGCTGGGCTTACAGGCACGCGCCACCATGCCCAGCTAATTTTTTTGTATTTTTAGTAGAGACGGGGTTTCACCATGTTGACCAGGATGGTCTCGATCTCTCGACCTCGTGATCCACCCGCCTCGGCCTCCCAAAGTGCTGGGATTACAGGCTTGAGCCACCGCGCCCGGCCACAACTGTACTTTCTACATACATCTTTTGAACACTTTTATATGCCACTACTCTATTATGAGGAGAGTTTAATAGGATTTCCATTGAACTAAAAATTATGTTTTCCTTTTTATTTTTTTAATTATTTTCATTTATTTGACTAAAAATTATATATTTTATTTGCAGAACTGCTGGCTTTTAAAAAATATCCAGAAGGTTGTATTGATCTTGCTAATTGATGTTTTGCCCACGCACGTGCACCTGTGGGGGAGCACAGCACGCTATCTCATCTTAAATGGTATAAAATCTCAAGCAATAATGTGATTCAGCAATTACCATTTCTTTTTAACTCTAATCCTATGACAAATTATATGTGTGTATATATATACATATATATATGTATATATATATATATATTTGAACTCTAGTAACAGTTAGCATTAATTGCTGTAACTCAATTAGATAGGATACTTTGAAGGTAGAATGCCTTAGTCTACACATACCATTGATTTGATTTCTCTTCCAGCCATTGGATTTAATGTAGAGACGGTGACATACAAAAACCTTAAATTCCAAGTCTGGGATTTAGGAGGACAGACGAGTATCAGGTATGGCACAAAGACCAGGTTATTTGGTAGTATTTAACATTTATTGGTTCTTTTAAGGGTTAACATCAGTAAACCAGCATATGTGTTCTATTGTAATTTAAATGGAGCCACCTAGTTTAAAATGAGGTAAAATTTGGAACTATTTTCTTAGAGCATCCATTGAATTAAAACTTACGGAAGCCCAATTTTTCAGATATCTGGTTAATGAAAATCTTTTCATGAAAATCTCAAGACCTTATTATTTCAGCTATTCTGAACTAGAAAGGACCCTCCTTTTAATTATTGTCAGTCTCTCCTCTCTGAAACACATTGTTTTGGAATTTATTGAAGTACCTTGCAGTCCTCCCTTTTAGGGCTAATATAAAAATAAATGTCTTTGGCCAGGTGGGGTGGCTCATGCCTGTAATCCCAGCACTTTGAGAGGCCAAGGCGGGTAGATCACGAGGTCAGGAGTTCAAGACTAGCCTGGCCAACATGATGAAACCCTGTCTCTACTAAAAATACAAAAATTAGCTGGGCATGGTGGTGGGTGCCTGTAATTCCAGCTACTTGAGAGGCTGAGGCAGGATAATTGCTTGAACCCGGACCCAGGAGGTGGAGGTTGCAGTGAGCCGAGATGGTGCCACTGCACTCCAGCCTGGGCTGCAGAGTGAGACTCCGTCTCCCAAAATCAAAAACAAAAGTGCCTTCTGCAGTTCAGGTCTCCTGCTTAGCATTTTGGGCTTGCCATGGCAACAGTGAATGTTTGGTAACTGTCAGTAGTTACTTAACAATGGTACCATCTTAAAAGATTAATAATGTATTCTCCAAACATTCTGACTTCTTTTAACTCATTTCTTGAATCACATTATTTTTTTTTTAATTGCATAGCCTCCCAAGCCAGAGTAGGCTAAGAGAGACTCCACTGAATCACTTTTGAGTTTATTTATAATTTTAGCTATTTCTGTTTCCTGGTGTCAGTGATTAATTTCATGACTGTTAAATAAAATTACATTAAAAAATTCATTCCTCTTAAGGGATGCCTAGTTAAAGATTTGTATAAGAAGATGTAATTATCAGGTCTGTGTGTAACTTTTCTGTCAGTATATTTAGTGGTTTCATAGATTATAAATAGATTTTCTCAGCCTGAAGTCTGAATTCATTTTGAAACTCTCTGGTCCTGTGATTTAATGTTTATCAACATTCTTTTGACTCATCACATGGGTACATATATCCACCAGAAACAGTGAATTATTAAGGCACTGATTCTTGAACTCCCGACCTCAGGTGATCCCGCCTTGTCCTCCAAAGAGCTTGAATTACAGGCATGAGCCACCATGCCCAGCCTTAAGGCACTGATTCTAATGTGTGTGGGAAAGGATTAGCATGTAATTCCCCCACCTTCACTCCAAACCATGGCCCTGAGTTCTAGCATGTAAATTGATATGTCAGTTTCTTCTTTAAAACAGTAACAATATATTCTCCCCTTTTGAATTTTCTTTAGGCCATACTGGAGATGTTACTATTCAAACACAGATGCAGTCATTTATGTAGTAGACAGTTGTGACCGAGACCGAATTGGCATTTCCAAATCAGAGTTAGTTGCCATGTTGGAGGTAAGAAAACTTTACCACTTTAAAATGCGGGAAAATCATTTACATTTGCTGACTGTTTCCAGTACATTCAGGAATAATTAAAAAGAATGCAGGGTTTTTTTCCCTTCATCCCTTTAATATTTTCCTTTATGCAAATGATTTTCTATTCCAAAAATACAGTTGAGGAGAGGGTTGGAGACAACAACAAAAACTAACCTAGAAAATTCCTCTTCCTTTAAGCCAGGTTGCTTGATTTTCGAGGAGATTCAGAGCTCACTTAAACAAAAGCAACTATTCTAAGTCACTTCTTTAAAACAAAAGCAACTATTCTAAGTCACTCCTTTGATGTCTTTTTTAAAAGATGTCTTTGTTTTTTTGTTTTGGAGATGTAGTTTTGCTCTTGTTGCCCAGACGTGCAATGGCATGATCTCGGCTCACTGCAACCTCCGCCTCTGGGTTCAAGCAGTTCTCCTGCCTCAGCCTCCCCCAGTAGCTGGGATTACAGGCTTGCACCACCACACCCGGCTAATTTTGTATTTTTAGTAGAGACAGGGTTTCTCCATGTTGGTCAGGCTGGTCTCGAACTTCACACTCCCAAAATCTCAGGTGATCCACCCGCCTCGGCCTCCCTAAGTGCTGAGATTACAGGCATGAGCCACTGCACCCGGCCAAGATGTCTTTTTATTTTTAGCTGTTTTAGAAGGATTAAAGTTTAGAGAAATATGTATTCCTGGGTTGCTGGCATAATTCTGGTCTCAGGTTTATTGTTTTTTACCCTTCCCTTATGGTGTTTTAGCTACACAGAACTTTCTGTTCTTTGAACATGAGCTTGCACACCTGGCTTAGGGCCTTTTGCACTTGCTGATCCTTCTGCTTGGAATGCTGTTCCCCAGCATCTTTGCTTGACTGCCTTCCTGACATGTTTCTTCCCACATCTCTTCCCCAGAAACGAGTCACAGTTACTTTCTAGCCCTTTACCCTTCTTTATTTTTTTTTTTTTTTTTTGAGACAGAGTCTTGCTCTGTTGCCCAGGCTGAAGTGCAGTGGCTTGATCTTGGGTTTACTGCAACCTCTGCCTCCCAGGTTCAAGCAATTTTCCTGCTTCAGCCTCCTGAGTAGCTGGGATTATAGGCATGGGCCATCATACCCGGCTGATTTTTTTTTTGTGATTTTAGTAGAGACAGGGTTTCACCATGTTGATCAGGCTGGTCTTAAACTCCTGACCTCGTGATCCGTCTGCCTCAGCCTCCCAAAGTGCTGGGATTACAGGTGCAAGCCACTGCACCTGGGTATTCTTCTTTTTTCTTTATGCCAATTATTATTATTTTTTCTTTTTCTTCTATTTTTTGTAGAGACGGGGTCTAGCTATGTTGCCGAGGCTGGTCCCAAACTCGTGTCCTCAAGTGATCCTCCTGCCTCATCCTCCTAGTATTGGGATTACAGGTGTGAGCCATCACATCCCTCTTACTGTTTCTTTCTTTTTTTTTTTTTTTTAAGATGGAGTTTTGCTCTTGTTGCTCAGGCCGGATAGAGTGCAGTGGCGCGATCTGGGCTCACTGCAACCTTCACCTCCTGGGTTCAAGCAATTCTCCTGCCTCAGCCTGCCAAGTAGTTGGGAGTAAAGGCACATGACACCGTGCCTGGCTAATTTCTTTCTTTCTTTTTTTTTTTTTGAGACGGAGTTTCGCTCTTGTTACCCAGGCTGGAGTGCAATGGCGCGATCTCGGCTCACCGCAACCTCCGCCTCCTGGGTTCAGGCAATTCTCCTGTCTCAGCCTCCTGAGTAGCTGGGATTACAGGCATGTGCCACCATGCCCAGCTAATTTTTTGTATTTTTAGTAGAGACGGGGTTTCACCATGTTGACCAGGATGGTCTCGATCTCTCGACCTCGTGATCCACCCGCCTCGGCCTCCCAAAGTGCTGGGATTACAGGCTTGAGCCACCGCGCCCGGCCAACTACTGACTTCTTAATGCCTTCCAAGTTATAAATTGCAGACTTGATAATTTTAAACATTTGGTTAATTTTTTTTTTTTACATCGTATCATTGTATTTATTATAAGAGCTTCTTAGATCAAATTTAAATGTAAGGATAAGGTTGAATTGTCTTGTGCATAGTGGATTTTTAAAAGAACAGCTTATTTAGGTATAATTCACAGGATATAATGCATTTTATCGTATAAAGTATTGCTTAAAAGAATTGCATAGGGGAGGGACAGCGGGGGATGGGGAGTTGGGGGGAGAGAGCATGGGGAGAAATGCCAGATATAGGTGATGGGGGTAGGAAGGCAGCAAATCACATTGCCATGTGTGTGCCTATGCAACAATCTTGCATGTTCTTCACATGTACCCCAAAACCTAAAATGCAATTAAAAAATAAAAATAAAAATAAAGAATTGCATTATTGACTTTAATTTGCAAATCTTGAGCCATGCAGGATTGTTTTTTTTTTTTTTTTTTTTTTTTTGAGACAGAGTGTCACTCTGTCGCCAGGTGCTAGGCTGGAGTGCAGTGGCACAATCTCGGCTCACTGCAACCTCCGCCTCCTGGTTTCAAGCAATTCTCCTGCCTCAGCCTCCCGAGTAGCTGGGATTACAGGCACGCGCTACCATGCCCAGCTAATTTTTGTATTTTTAGTAGAGACGGGGTTTCACCATGTTGGCCAGGATAGTCTCGATCTCTTGACCTTGTGATCCGCCCACCTCGGCCTCCCAAAGTGCTGGGATTACAGGCTTGAGCCACCGCGCCCGGCCTTGGATTGTTATTAGATTATTTGCAGTGTTAGGATTTGACTTTTAAGTCTTTCAGAGAAGTAAAAATTGGATTCTTTCTTTAGGAAATGACATTTAATTCATCAATAAATATCATGTTATATAAAGTACAGGCCAAGTACGAGTCAGGACTGTTAATGTTAAAACATACAGACACAAACCAGGTGTGGTGGTTCACACCTGTAATCCCAGCACTTTGGGAGGCCGAGGCAGGCGGATCACTTGAGGTCAGGATCACCTGGCAACATGGAGTGCAATGGCGTGATCTCAGCCAAGTGCAACCTTCGCCTCCCAAGTTCAAGCGATTCTCCTGCCTCAGCCCCCAAGAAGCTGGGGATTACAGGCATGAGTCACCAACGCCCAGCTAATTTTGTATTTTTTTAGTAGAGATGGTGTTTCTCCATGTTGGTCAGGCTAGTCTCAAACTCCCAACCTCAGGTGATCTGCCTGCATTGGCCTCCCAAAGTGCTGGGATTACAGGCATGACACTGTGCCTGGCCTTAAAAATTTTTTGTAGAAATGGGGTCTCCCTGTGTTGCTCAGGCTGATCTCGAACTCCTAGACTTAAGTGATCTTCCTGCCTCACCCCATTTGCATTTCAAATACCCTAATAATATATAAGGAGATACTATGTTTGGAAAAGTAAGTAATTCCAAACTCTACCAAGGCTTCATTGAAGATGGAGACTTTTATATGTTGTTGGCGGGGAAACCTTTTGGGAAAGCTGTTCATATATGTATTCAGTTTATCAAAGCCTTAAAAAAAACTGTTTATATGAACTTTGACTCCATTATTTATTTATTTATTTATTTATTTTATTATTATTTTTAAGACGGGGTTTCACCATGTTGGTCAGGCTGGTCTCGAACTCCTGACCTCAGGTGATCCGCCCACCTTGGCCTCCAAAGTGCTTGGATTACAGGCGTGAGCCACCACGCCCAGCCATTTTTTTTGACTTCATTTTTAGAATATTAAGGAAACAGATTCAAACAAAGATTTTTGTATAAATACTCTGTCACTTGGATTTATCTAAGTCAAGTGGAAAGAATCTAATAAGAGTCTAATACTAGAAAATAGTTAACACAGTTTATGGTGCATGCATCCATAGTATAGAGCATATTTAGCCATTTTTTTATTTTGAAAAAGTTGTTATTGTTTGGAGAAACATGATTTTAATTTTTAGGCAGGGTATGGAACTTGTATATAAATGTGATTTTAAATGTGTAAATGTATTTACTAAATAAACTCTTTAAGTATCTGCAAAACAAAGTACCATAAAAACACCCAGAATGTTCACAATGATCATATTTGGGAGGTAGGATTATGGGTGAAGCTTTTTTCTTTATAGTTCTCTATCATTTCATCATGTATAATGAATATATTGATAATTACAAAATACACTTTAAAATGTATTTTTTGACATTTTCTAAATTCAAGAGAGCACATTGGTTAAAGGAAATTAAATATTTTCAATTTTATTTAGGAAGAAGAGCTGAGAAAAGCCATTTTAGTGGTGTTTGCAAATAAACAGGACATGGAACAGGCCATGACTCCTTCAGAGATGGCAAATTCACTTGGGCTACCTGCCTTGAAGGACCGAAAATGGCAGATATTCAAAACGTCAGCAACCAAAGGCACTGGCCTTGATGAGGCAATGGAATGGCAAGTATCCTGTTTCCAGAAGCCCTCTGTCCATTATCCACATATAATTTTCCTCCAGTGTTGAGGATGAAACTTTGGTTTACTTAACAGCTTATCTCATAAGCTCCTCCAGCCTTTACTCCCACTAGTCTTTGGGTGCATCTGCCTTCTCAACCACACCTACCTGACTACAGTTAATTTAGATAAGCAAGTTCTTTGCCGATTTTTAGCCTTTTTCCCTGCCTCACCTCACCCTTGAATTCCTTATCCTTCAGGAATTAAGGCTGTCTTCTCAAGAGCTTTTCCTAGTGTATCTCTAGTCCTACTGCCTAATCACTCACCTAAAGTTAGATGCTCTTGTCAAAGATTAGTGACATAGTACTTGTTATACTGTCTTATAATTTGATTTGTTCATCTACTTATTATATAATCACCTCCTTGAGGATTGAAACTAGTTTTACCTCTGAGGTATCCATATGTAGCCCAGAAATAGTAGTAGCCTGGAAAATAGATATTTGGTCTTTTTTGAATTTTTCATTCAAATCATAGACAGATTTAAACCTTAAAGGAACCTTATGCAAATCGAGTGCATAACTTTATTCTTCTATGTTAGCTTTCATCATTTTAAGTACTTTGGAATTCACTTCCAATATAAAGTTTATTATAGATGATCATGCTTTATACCTGAAAATTAATTTTATAAAACTGTTCATTTTCTCTTTACAGGTTAGTTGAAACACTAAAAAGCAGACAGTAATTCAGTCCATTCTTCTCCCCTGAAATGAAGACTGCATCACCTCTGTTCCCTTTGGAAACAGTCAAGTGTACTTCACACTACTAGATGTTAAAACTATATGATTGTTGGCATATACTGACTGACTGCAATGTTTGTAGTAAATAAGGAAAAGAAGTATTTGGTTAGAGGGGTAACTCGATTGAATCACCTGAATGTTCTATGTAATGTAAAATATTCTTTCCTTGCTTTCTTGTGTTAAGGTATATAGTCTATTTGTATGGAATTCTTATTCAAATACAGTTCTATTAAAGAATGTACTCCTATTGGATGAAAAAAACCTTCCTATTTTTGAATAGTAGTTGCAGCTTGTTTGTATAAATCAGGCGTCCCCAGACTACAGCCCACAGGCCATGCATGCGGCCCCCTGAGGCCATTTATCCGCCCCCCCACCCCCCAGCCGCACTTCAGGAAGGGGCACCTCTTTCGTTGGTGGTCAGTGAGAGGAGCACAATATGTGGCGGCCCTCAGGGACAGTGAACTGGCCCCCCGTGTAAAAAGTTTGGGGATGCCTGGTATAAATACTAACAGATATTAACAGATTTTTTTCCCCTTAAAATGAATTATCTTTCCAAAGATTAGACTCAGTAGAGTAGGTGAGGAATATAGTGTGTATAATATACTCTTTATTTGCTTACCTCACCACTTTTTATTAAGCTGTTTTGTTAAAAGCTTTTTGTTATTTTGATGGATAACTTCACTGATTTATCTGCAATTGTCATTTTATAGTACTTTACAATTGTCAAAAAAATCTTACATATGTTGACGTAGTTGATCTGTATAGGAATCTTGTAAGGTAGGTAGGACAGGTTATGATGTCTTCACTTTATGGATATGTACCCAGGGTTATAATAGGTTGGTTTGCCCAAGGTCACCTGCTAGCTAGTAAGGTGGGAATCGGGCTCAAAGTAAAACTTTTGGTTCAGAAGCTTGCCTCATAAACTATACTATATATCCCCAAAAATGTCAGCATTGACAACACAGTCTAACTTTTAAATAAAATTATGCTAGTTAAAGTAGTTACATTCAAAATAATGTCTATAAACTTATTACTCTATACTAATAGATCAGTGACAAATAATCCTAAATGGTTATATTTGATGGAATTTATAACACATTAAAGAGAAAATTTCACATTAAAGGAAGGTTTAAAACTCTTATTTTTAAGATTATAAAAGGTGTCTTTAGTGGTTTTCATTCCTTTTATCTACCTGTAATTGGGGATGTAAACTTGTTAAAAATCAAAATCCTACTGATTCTACAGGGAGAAATTAAGCATTCTGTTTTAAAAATTAGGCCTATTGCTAGACTGAAAGTTTAAAAAACAATTCATGTTCCAATCAGCTTTTTAAATTACCTAGTCCACCACAGAATCAGCTAATGTGATAGAATATAGTGCTTCATCATTGCTAAAACAAGGTGAATTTCTTTAAGTTGGAAAACCAGCATTTAAAAAATTACGTGCTGGTAATGAGAGCTTAATACCATCGTTCCCCAAAGGTCTCAGGATCATTAGTAGTTTCTTTCTTGGCTTTCACTGTCCTTCCAGTGTTGGCCTCTGGCCTCTTCCCCTCATATTTATGTTTATTCTCTGGGCTTACATTCATTCTCTGCAGCTTTCTCTCTTCACCTGTGGGACTCTTACCCTTCTCACTCACTCCAGCACTCATTCCTACTTTAGTCTCTGAAATCTTTTTTGGAGATTTTTCCTTCAGCTACAAGTGTTCCAGTATAACCAGTATTACTCCTGAGGGGCAGAGACTTTTTCATATTTATGTCCCTAGTATGTGGTGTGGCGCCTGGCATAAGGCATTTCAGAATATGTTATAGTTGAAATAGTAGGATAGATATTTGTCATTTGAGTAGTCCCTTTGCAATTTATACTTGAGTTCACTTCTGATCAATAGCACATGGCTAGAAAATGCAGAAAACAAGTTCCCTTATAGCCTGAGGCTTGTAAGGCTTGTACAGCTGCAGCTGCCTCCTGGCAGTTCAGGAAAACTGCAAAAAATGGGAAGTAAGGTCCTGGCAGGCAAACCTGGCATGTAGCCCTGGCCATCTTGAATCCTAGGGCATGAAGTTGCCCCAAAGGTCAGGACTTGGATAAGCCTGATCCCTCTGATTTATCACAAAGAATAGGATGAGATTAAGAGAGTGGATACTTAAGTAGGCTATAAATCATATGGTCCTTGTCTAGCAGGAAACAACTGCAGAGGTATGCTACCAGGGCTTGGATATTGACATTCACAAGGCAAATCTGAATATTGTTTTATGAGAATCCTGGCAATGGGAAAAGCACCAAACTTGAAATCAGAACATGGGTGCAAATGGCCACTCCTGCAGTTTCTTTTCTGTAAAATGGGACCTGGACAAATGACACCAAAGGTTTCTTTCTGACATTCTGTTTTTTAACTATGGCGGATGTTGTGCTGTCTCTTGCTACAAAAAAGAGAAACTGAGAGTGGTAGAATTACTTCTGTTATGAAATACCTGAGATGCACTTTAAACTGTTGAAATGTAGGCTCTGAGGGAAGGGGCCATATCTTATTTACTGTTAGTATCCCTTGCATCTAGTGTGGTGCACCTGGCACACAGTAGGCACTCAATAAATATTTATTGATTAAAAACAAAGACGTCTTCAATATCCCAGATACATTTGTTCTTTCTGATCTTTGCCTTAGTATTTTTATTTTTAAAAATTTTATGAAAGCAATATGTGCATTTACTTTAAGTCATTTAGAATTAGTTAAAATCAGTCTTCTACAATGGCCCCCTTTGACACGTTGCAAAGCCCTTAGGGTGAGAACTCCTGTTTGAGATACAAACTACACCAAAGCACAGATGCTGAAGTGAATGAACATTTGAATCCTATGCCACATGCTGTGATATTCTGAGCTCAAAATTATAAAGTATGGACTTTTTTTTCTTTAAGACAGAGTCTTACTTTGTCACCCAGGCTGGAGTGCGGTGGTGTGATCTTGGCTCGTTGCAACCTCCACCTCCCAGGCTCAAGTGATTCTCTTGGCTCAGCCTCCCAAGTAGCTGGGACTACAGGCGCTGGACCACCACACCTGGCTAATTTTTGTATTTTAATAGAGAGGGTTTCATCATGTTGGCCAGGCTGGTCTCGAACTCCTGACCTCAAGTGATCCACCGCCTCAGCCTCCCAAAGTGCTGAGATTACGGGTATGAGCCACTGTGCCTGGCTCAATGCATGGACTTTGCATCCTGATTTTCTACCACTTACATCCTGTATTACCCTTAGGCAAGTTCCTTACTCCGTCTCAGTTTCTTCATCTGTAAAATAGGAACCACTTGTAGGAATCTCTCAGGAACACTAGGATTAAACAAAATGTATCCAAAGTGCCTGGCACACAGGGTGGAGTTCCCACCCCATGTACTCCCAAGTATGTGGGGCACTAAAGAGTATTTCTTCCACATCAAGTATAAAGTGAGGCAAAAGATGCTATATGGTTGAACAACAGAAACCAAGTTTAGCCACTAAATAAGTGTGGCTTATTGCCATTTTAGTTGTAAACCTTTAAAGTTTCAAAGAAACCACTTTGTATTAATGTGGTTTTGGCCATGCATTAGAAAATGTTTTTATCCGGAAATATTTCATACACAGAAAGTAATGAAGCATAATAAACTTGGAAATCTGACACCAAATCTAAGACACAGAGCATTTTGAGGACAGTTTAAGCCCTCCAACCCTACCATGTGCTTCTTCTTTGATCCTATTCCTTCTCAGAAGTACCTTCTATCCTGAAAACTTTGAAATAGTTTTTCTCTACAGATTTATCATACATGTACACACACTCAGAGCCCCTATTACAGTGACATTCAACTCATTTTTCTATGACTTTTTCCCCCACTTAACACTTTCTAGAATTCATATATATATATATATATATATATATATATATATAAAATAAAATTAGCTGATTTCCGCTACTGTGTTTCGGTATATGAATATACCATTTTATTTATCTACTCTCTTGTGGAAAGACATTTGAATTGCTTTTAGTTCTTGACCTTCATCAGTGGTTCATGAACATTCTTCAGATCCATAGTTCTTGGTTTCTCTAAGAGTAGAACTTGGGATTAGGGAGTATACCCATCTTCAAGTTTACAAGGTAATGCCAAATTGCTTTCCAAAGTGGTTTATAAGATTTCCTATTGTTCTACCATGCTTACCGGCACTTGGTATTGTCAGCCTTACCAATATGATGGTTTCAAAATGGAATATAATTCTGGCGATAACTGGCATTTTCCTAATTACTAATGAGGTTAAATACAGGAGTGACTCAATTTAACCACTAGACGTACCTAGTAAAGGATCCCTACTAGTCCAGGTATTCTTTAACTCCTGGTGTGAGAATATAAGGACTTCATGTAGCCAGGGTGGCACTTGGGAGTCTCAGTGTAGTATAGTGACTACTTACCAAGCAATACATAGTACTTTTTTAAAAAATGGCACAGCTATGTCACTAACTGTTAATGTTTAAGGACCATTTATGTTTCTCCTTTTGTGCAATGCTCATTTCTGTCTTTTGCCACTTTTTCCACTAGATCATCTGTGTTGATTCATCTATTCATTTTATGTCCTGGTATTACTAATTGTTTAACAGTACATGTTATATGCTGTGTCCCAGTTTGTGTCTTTTCTTAAGTAGAAGTTCTTAATAAAATAGGATTTATTACACATTCTCTCTATAGATAGTTTTTGTGTCTTTCTTACTTTTGATATCTAATAGGGCAAGCCCCTCATCCTGTTCTACTTTTTATAAGTAGAACCTGTCATGGTAATTTTCAGCTTAATATCTTCCATATAAATTTTAGAATCAGCTTCGCGGGTTAACATGAAGAACTCTTGGGATTTTGCTCCGATACACATTTAACCAAAGGGATCAACTTGGGAAAGAAAAAGGAGCATTTTATGGTCCTGAATATTCCTATCCATGAACATGGTTATAGTTCTCTATTTGTGCAGATCTTACTGCCTTTTCCTAAAATTTTATAATGTACTATATAGCGGTATTTGCAAATCTTTTGTCTCATGTATTGCTAACTTCTACATTTTTTTCTTGCTATTTAAAAATGTATCCTTTTATTTACAAACTATGTTTTAAACTTTCACTAGTGTCACATGCTTTTTAGTGAAGACCCAGTAGTAGTATAAAGTGTTTTATTTATTTAAAAAATATGAGCATGATTTTATTAAACTATATATTATATAATCTATCCAAAGTTTAACTTAAATAATAAAATCTGGACGGGTAC